GTCAAGTGTTGACAAAACAGCTGCTGCCAGCTGTGCTCCTGCCCTCCCAGCACGTTCTTCTTGACCAGTGTTTGGCAAAACATGGCCTTTGAACCAGATGTGGCCAAGGAGTGAAGAGAAACCTTACATTTTACAAAGATTATTTAAAAAAAAAAAAAAAAAAGGAAGCAAGAAAAAAACCCCTGTGTGACAGAAATGGCACAGGGCCCCAAAAGCTAAATATGTGCCACTCTGCAGGAGACGCTTCTCGTCCCATCCCCCTTTTTTTTGGGGGGGGTACCTGAGTTGAACCCAGGGACACTCACCCACTGAGCAACATCCCAGCTCTTTTTTCTATTTTATTTAGAGACAGGGTCTTGCTGAGTTGCTTAGGGCCTCACTAAGTTGCTGAGGCTGGCTTTGAACTCATAATCCTCCTGCCTCAGCCTCCTGAACCACTGGGATTACAGGCGTGTGCCACTGCACCCAGTGTCTTCGCATTCTTGACTGCAGTTTACAGAGATGACTAAAGCTCAGAGAGGGAAAGTAACTTGTCTGAGATCACACAGCCTAGTATTGTTAGAGCTTGTCTGAGACCAGGGTCTGTGTGGCCCTTGACACAGAAGGGGTCTGGTGGGTTTTGCCCGGGACTCTCAATGGAAATCACTTACCTAGACTCGGACGCAGGAAGCACCTGTGATGGACAATATTGATCTGCAGTGACCCACAGCACGGGGCTGCAGGGGCTGCTGAGACCCTGGGAGAAGAGTGGGGAGGAAGGGCCTGGGGAGCAGGTGGCCACTGTCTTCCCCGCGTGGTGAACTCGGCTTTCCCACAGAGGGCTTTGAGTTCTGGAGCCTGGATGTGAACGGAGGCGATGAGTGGAAGGTGGAGGACCTTTCCAAAGACCAACGGAAGGAGTTCCCCAATGACCAGGTCAAGAAATACTTCGTGACTTCTTATTAGTAAGATCGGGGGTCTCGGGCGGGGGGAGCCCAAGTCACTTCACCCTGGGGTCTCTCCCGCCCCTGGGAGGGATAGTCCCAGCCCCGTCCCACCCTCCACCGCCCCCAGCACCTGCCTCAAGTCCCAGGTGGTGGACCTCAAGGCTGAAGGGTATTGGGAGGAGCTGATGGACACCACCCGCCCGGACATCCAAGTCAAGGACTGGTGAGTGCCCGGGGCGAGGGTCTGGGTGGGGCCTGCCACTCCGGCGCCCCACCCCCACCCTGCCCCCACTCTCCCAGGCCCTCATGGGCCTCCCTCTGCCCACAGGTTCGCAGCCAGGCCAGACTGCGGGTCCAAGTACCAGCTGTGCGTCCAGCTCCTGTCCTCCGCGCACGCCCCTCTGGGGACCTTCCAGCCAGACCCAGTGATGATCCAGCAGAAGAGCGACGCCCGATGGAGGGAGGTGCGTGGCCTGGAGGGCAGGGGTGGGCCCAGGGCTCCCACTGCCGGGCTCAGAGCCAGCGGCCTCCCACCTGGGCCCCTCTGCCGCCTGGACTAGTCTTCCCTCAGAAGAGGAGGAAGTCAGTGACCAGGGGCCCTCAGACAGCAAGCTGGGCAGGGGCAGCTCCCAGTGCAGCACTGGCTGGCACTGGGGAGAGACAGAAAGACACGAGATCAAACTGCCCAGAAGGGCTGCCACAGATGACCGCTCTCAGCTGTGACCGCAGAGGGTCCCCGCTCACAGCAGCGTAACCGGGCCTTCTTGATTCCTCGGGCTCTGACCCCGTTTTATGTCCACGAGCGCAGGTCTCCACTCAGGGTCCTGAGGGTCCCCCGTCCTGCTCGGCTTGCGTGCGTTTACCTGGACACAGTCCCGGGGTGAGCTGAGCAGCACCTGGGCCTAGACGGGCACCTGGGTCACCTAGACAAGCCCAGGCCCTCTGAAGCAGCCAGGTACAGAGTCCTTAGGCTTCACCAGCCTCTGTCTGTCACTGCCACTCAGCCTTCCACCCTGCTGTCACCATGTGACCGGCACGGCTGTTCCAGTCACGTGATGGACAGAGCCGGGCCGTGGTCCTACAGGCTGTTGCTGGGTCCCGGGAGCTCGCTGCAGTGCTAGGAATGCTGTCCGCGCTGCCCGTGCGCCAGGCCAGCCAGGGGCCCCTAGGAGGAGCCGCTCCCGGGCGGCTGAAGGGCTGCAGTGTTAATTCTTACTGTTTTTATCACTTTACTTTTTTATTTTACTGGTGCTGAGGATGGAACCCAGCGCCTCACACACGCTCGGCGAGCGCTCTGCCCTGAGCCCCCGGCCCAGCCCCAGCATCGTGTGCTTTTCAGCCTGGCCATGCGCCCACACTGTCAGGTCCTTTGGGCCCAGTGGCCTGGGCGGGATTTTGCTGTTTGACAGAGGAGGAAGGCAAGTCACAGAGAGAGGCCCTCTGCCCCAGGCACAGAGCGGGGGCTGGCCCTGACCTCTGGCCTCCCTCTGCCTGCCCCACCCCAGGTCTCCCACACCTTCTCCAACTACCCTCCCGGCGTCCGCTACATCTGGTTTCAGCACGGCGGCGTGGACACCCACTACTGGGCCGGCTGGTACGGCCCGAGGGTCACCAACAGCAGCATCACCATCGGGCCCCCGCTGCCCTGACGCCCCCTGGCCCCCCATCAACTGAACCCTGACTGGTAAACCGCTGTCAGAGGAGGGCTGAGTTTGGGAAGGGGAGGCGGAAGCCAGGTGTCCCCAGCCTTTCAGTGTGTCCCTGCCCCCACTCACCTCTTCTCTGAGGAGCCTCTGGATTTGGGCAGCTGTCCCATGCTGGGGGGCCCGCTCCCCGCTGAGGCCTAACTGGGCCCCTCCCAGAGACGGAGCCTGAGGGCAGGGAGAGGGATCCCCAGGCTTCCTGGACAGGGGTCTCCAGCGGGGACGCCGGGCCACGTCTGCCTGTACCTCGCCCTGGCCCTTTCTCCCTGGGTCCTTTGGGGGTCTTTGGAGCAGGAGCAGGCAAGACACCTGTCACATATGTGACAGCCGTTCACAATGACAGATCTGAAAGATGACAGGTCTGAGAAGCAGAGGCAGGCTCTGCCAGCCACTTCTGCCCTGTGGCCACCCCTGACCCTCACTCTGCCTGCTCACCAGAGGTGGCTCGGCCCCAGGCTCTGACCTGGTCTGAGGTGACAAGCCAGGCCCCAGGTAGGGTGGCTGCAGGCGGGTGTGGGCTGCCCTTACCATCACCGAAGCCCTGCAGCCAGGTGGGTCCTGGGGGACAGGGTGACTCAGGGGGCAAGGCTGGGACACACGAACCTTGGATGAGTAGGGTAGATGGTTTTCAGGGACCAGCTGTCCACCTCCAGCCCTGGTTACGCTCCCTACAGCTTGGAAATCATTCCAGCCCAGCACTACCCCCCCAAAGTAAACCCACCCCAGCCGTGCCCCACCAGGACAGCAGTGTCCTCCTGACCTTGCCTGCCGCATGCTGCCGAATAAAAGTGTTCCAGCCAGCCTGTGCCCTGTGGCTTCTGGAGGGAAAGACAAACTTCTTGGGTGCCCTGCCTGGACCTGCAGAGGCTCTAGTGTGGCTTCCGTCCAGAGTAGAGAGGGGTTGACATTTCTGGAATCAGCTCCTCACAGGCCGGTCGTGGGGCAGATCCCTCAACAGACTGCACTCCCGCAGCCTTGGGCACCACAGCGTCCACAGGCCTGGGCCCGCGGGTGGGCTTCTCTGGGCAGCCCTCGCACACCTGCTGCTGGGAGCAGTGCCACTGTTGACACTGGATGAGGCCAGAGCATTTGAAGTTGTGCTTGGCATACAGGGAGGTGCTTAGTAAGTACTTGTTAAATTTATGACACTCACTTATGAGTTAATTGGGACCATGCTAGGTGGGTCAAAGCGGAAAGACACCTTCCATGGAGAAGGCGCAGCCCTGACTGGAGCGATGCTGCTGGGCCAGCCCTCATGGGGTGCTCAGCCTGCGCAACCCTCTCAGCCGCCGTCTGAAACGGGTGCTTGATAAATTGTTGTGAATTAACAACGAAGGAAAAACAAAAAACCACACACACAAGAGGTTTTTATCTTTGCATCAGCTGAGGCCTACGAAAAGCCCAGCCCAAACCCAAAATGTCAGCTCTGGCCCTCCGGGGAGGGGGCCACGAATCCAGTGCTTAGAACTGGCCCCACCTCCAACCGTGTGCGGTAAACAGGTGAAAAGAAGTCTAAGGCGTGGCCAGCGCGGGACAGGACCGAGACCAGGCCGACTGGGCTTCCCCTGCAGAAGGAGGAAGCGGGGAAGAGGTGGGTGCCGGCTGCCGAGCTGCCCACCGCCTGGAGAGGGAGACTCAGGCTCGGGAAACGCCGGCAGCCGCGAGATCCCGGGAGGCGCGGCGCCCACCCCGACCGCGAGACGCCAGGATGGTCTTCGCCGAGCGCCTCCGGGTGGCGC